ATGGAATATCACCTATCAATAATAAAAAGCCTAGTATGAAATTATAATAGAAAAGGACACCATTGATCTGCAAATCTTGACGAGCAATCTTTACTTATCAAAAGTGAAAAGTCATAAGTATTTGGAGCAATTGAAACGCACATGTCAACTCGATTATGATAGGGAAATAAAAACAATGCATAATTAATAGCTAAAATAAGTACAATTACAAAGACTTGACAAATACCTTCGAAATAATTAGTTACAAATCTGCTACGCTTTTATTATATTTTGGGATAACCAAAGATATATTTTATTATCTATATATAGCAGTTACATGTACATGTAGTTTATGTACAGTACTTATCTTCCCTTCGACTAATATACTGTCACCAAGAATAGAAGTTGCCATAGGAAGGTGAGAAAAAAATTATGGGTTTTGGTATACTTTTCATCACTTTTTAGTCAACTGTTCTTAAAAAAGCACTTCAACACGAATACGAGTACTAAGAGCTAGTAATACGGAATTTGTAATTATACTCAAAACACTTGCAAATGTTCTATACTTCATGACAAACTTAAATTACATAATTATCAACATTTTCCCTTCTACTACGAATGAGTGACAATAATTTTGACATACATTTTATCACACAAATAAACTTTTATGAAACTAAAATTTTTCAAAGGAACTCATTATGCATACAAATATTAAAGGAGCGCCCCACGGTTTTATGTTTGGTGATGGCTGAAAAAAATATATTTTTCACTTTTCAGTGCACAAAAATAAAACCGTTGTTTTTAAAAAAACTTTTTTAAAGGAGTTTTTTTTACCGATGACTTATTGGAAACGTTTTTGTCTGGAGAAAGATGTGAGCGCGGTTCAAGGCGCAGGGTTGTGTGAGCTTCGTGAGAGTTAGTTTGTTCGTGCCATTGCAGTGAATTGAAATCTGTACAGCTGGGTTGTAAACTTAAATGCTAGTTAATGCTTTGGATGAGTTTACCGAGTAATAGACACGTGGATAAGGGCCAATGGATGGAAACCTCTTTCTGGGACTTCCCAGAGCTCAAGGGTTTTCTGATTGGAAGGCTGCCCTTGTGAGTGCCGATAATCGAGAGTCTACTGCGGGTGTATGTTTGAGAGGTACGAGTGGAACGATGAGCATGTGTCAAAAACACCTGAGTGGATTTGGAGACGGTCTAATAAGCAGTACAGAAGAAGTCTTGAGAACTGTGAACTCTATTATTAAGGTGCTGGGACTGATTTTATTGCCTAGCGCAGGCTTGAGAATTGGTGCACTTGTGCAATTTGAACTTGATCTATTTTATTTATTTTTATAGATTTTCTTACCTTTCCTGTACCTTTGCAAGCTTGCATTTAGTGTTGAAAATCGGCAGGAATTTATGTACTGATGCAATTTGTGCTTTTGTTCTTATATATTTTGTGTGACGTGCTTACCTATTCTCTACTTGGCAATCTTATCGTTTTAATGCTTTCGTGACTGCAAGGATTCAGCTTCTTTGGTTCTGACTTTACCGAAAGAACCAAAGAAGATGAATCCTATCGTTTTTTATGCATTGTTAATATTTGACCCCGCACCCCTACTGGACATCTGAAAAAGAGCCTCATAGCTCATTGTATTTCTCCAGAATAAGTAAAGATTCTGATTCTATCAAATGTGATGGCGCATGACCAGCCATTATTGAGGTCGCTGAGCAATAAACGTATGACTTGGTCACCTATGACAGATACGTAGTGCTTGTTCGGTATTGTGTTTTGGACATGTCTCCTTCCTTTTACAAACCCGATCACTAACGACCGTATTACCCCACCCACCCTTCCCTTATTTTGCCATTTTGTACCGTAGTTGGTAAGCATTGTCAAGCGCCTTACTGAAAGGCGCTTAATTAATCCAAAATATAATAGAATCGTTGCCTCTTCTGAAAGGACTCCCATACAGCTAATAAACAAGGGGACGACTGATTTCCTCATGCAGATAAAGCAATAATTTCCTGATGATATCTGCTGACTTGGACAAAGCGTTGATCTCACCTTTGCTGAAACTGAGAATCAGCTAGTGCCTTTATATAAACAGGTAGAATATAATTTCATAACGATGTGGAACAAAATCTATTTTATTCCATTTTAGGGACAATATATGTGATTTATGAATGTTTTTTTTCCTCATGTAGAACACGTGGTGTCCTTGGCAGACCTGTAAGGAAGGCACTGACTTGGCATTGTGAGCCAAATGCACTGTGAGGATGTGCATAATAAAGGTGCACAATGCCGTAGCCATTGAGATTCGTTCTCTATTTTTAAAGAAATGCATACCTGTCTTCCCATACGATTTACTCATGTTCTTATACAGGGAAATTTAGTTTTCAGGTGGATATGGCGTACAGCCGTTTCAATACGGGCAAAAAAAACATTCTTTGTGTTTCTCCCTTGTGATAGGACTTCATAGGATAAATATTGAGATTTGTAAGGGCATGGGGTGACCAATAAGGTCTGAATTTGTCTAATAAGGTAGGCACTGATAAGGGGTTGACAGGTATAGAAATGTCTATTCAGTACCACTGCATTGGCACAGCATACATAACAAAACCTCAACACGTACGTGATGACGTACATATACATACGTGATGACGTACGTGATTATGTAAGTGTACGTACGGGATGTACGTGGTGACGTATGTGGTGACGTATGTGTACGTAATCGGGTTTTCTTCCGATTCGGTTCCAATTCCGGGCGTGTGGCACAGTTTGGCACCAGCTATCGTAGAGTACGGTCGTGTTGCTACGCTTCTTGTTCATGTTTTTTGTTTGTTGCGGTTGCACCCGATTCAAGAGCCGAATGGCTCACAGGGCTAGACCAAATAAATGAAACTATAAACTTCTCTATCTGTATTTAAAAACAGCGGCTTGCTATGCTTCTAAATAAAATCAACGCTAACCGTTTTCCCATTCCGAGGTGCAGCGGTGAACGAGACCCACCCTGCAATTTGCAGACGTCTCGACGGCATTATACACCAATGGGCACTGAAAGACATTTTCCAGATGAACAAAGGGCAATTAAACATTAAAAAAACAATCTTGATTTGAAGCTTTCGTGACTGCAGGAATCCGTACTCTTTGGTTCTTTCGGTAAAGTCACGTAGTACCTTTATAGTGCAGCAGTTGAAGACTTTTTAAAAGTCTGTGCAAATTCTGCTCTTTTAAGAGGCTGGGCCTTTCGTGAATTGCAAGAAATTAGGCCCACATTGCAAGGACGAAAATGTTTTGCTTTGAGAGCTCTACATTACCATTACCGGACCGCCAGAGGATTCTTTCCTGTACCAACTGTTGTGCACATCTGCTGTTTTCGCATGAAACTTGCTCCTTTTATATTCCCCCTCTCCATCGCTCATTCTTGACCGCAGTGGTGGCCTGCGTTGTTTTGCTCCGACAATACCGCAATCAGCTGCAGATTACGCAAACTGAGGCATTGTGTGTGCCGTCATCGTCCGCATTGTTGTGTTCCACGGCGTGTCTGTTGTAACCCCGCACGACAGTAATTAGATGGACGTTGTGCTTCCCGCACGATACGGTCGCTGCCCGCCCTGGGTTACGACAAGCATTGACGGTGATTCACAGCTCGGTGAACGCCGCAGCATCCACGTCCACATTGGCCGGCGCTGTGCACATTCTCATTTGTTTTGTTTTTGGTTTGCGAAGGATTTGCCCGTTACCAAAAGCACATTGCAGGAACACATGACCTTTCTTGCGCATGAGCAATTCATAATTTGGTATGATAGTTAATGTCGTTGAATAACGTACGTGGCCAACTATGCTAATCTGATGTGCAAATAATATACATATTTACCCAAGTAGCCTCTTTTAAAAACATTTTACTTTTAATGTACACATTTACATGGTACTCTTTGGTTCTTTCGGTAAAGTCACGTAGGTATAAAATAAAATAAATTAAATCACGACGTTTCGATTGCAACACAGGCAATCATCAGGTGGGAAAACCACAGCAAGACATTTTTTTGCTGAAGTGGGAAAGAGACGTTTCGATTGTGTTGCAATCGAAACGTGATTTAATTTTTTTAATTTTATACCTACGTGACTTTACCGAAAGAACCAAAGAGTATGGATCCCTGCGGTCACGAAAACTTCAAATCTAGATTGACATTTACATGGTTTTAATTGCACATTTTATCCCTGCATATTTCATACCTACATAATTTGGTGGGCTTCGGAAGGACTTGCAACTTACCTCGAAGAGACGATAGCCCATGGGTGAGAATAGTTAGCGAGTACTTGCCAAAGGAGGGAATGCGCCCAAGAGGACGTCCACCAATGAGATGGGAGATTAGCTCATGTGCTAGGTGCTGTATCGCAGGAGGACCACTAGAGATAGGAACAGGTTCTGCAGGCCTTCATGCAGCAGTGGATTGTTCACGGCTGAAGATGATCATGTGGTGAAGGTTGGGAGTAGGGATGTGGGATCGTATAAGTGCGGTACAACAATGTGCAGGCCGTCCCCGGTTTACGACGGTCCGATATACACGATCCACATTGACGACTTTTATATAACGCCGCAAGGTATCGATTAACGATGCAGAAACTTGAGTCGCGATGCATTTTTCCACCATGGCTCCGAACCCATTTGAACGGGGTCAGTCTGGTTTCCGATGTGACTTTGCTTGGAGCTTTTGTTCATTTTAAGGGTTTTTGTGGAATTTTACCTATTAAACCCTGTTACATATGACTATGGGAAAATAGGGTCTGATTTACGACGGGATTTCCAGGAACTCATTGTGTCGTAAGAGAGTGGGGACCGCCTTTATATTTGAAAGGTTATGTTAAGTCTGCATTGTATGCCTACATATTTCATATTCCTTACCTCGTATGTTCCCCAGCTCACCCTTATCGTGGTGGTGATGGACTTGAGTGTGGGGATTCATGCTGAAAACTGTTGAAATGTGTCACAATGTCAGAACTTACAATGCCTTGTGTGTCTGTCATGCAGCTTACATCAGGGCTTCACGGGGATATCGGAGTATGGCAGGTGAGCGAGAGATGCATTCTCCATTGCACATTGCAGCAGAGATTGTCAGGTGCATAATGACCACTTGCTGAGTAAAAATTTAAATGTGCCATGGTAAATTGCGAGTGATATAACGCTCGTCTTACGATGCACATTGAACGTTGGCCCTCGGAGTAACACTTGGTTTTAAAACAATCATATAATACTCTTTGGTTCTTTCAGTAAAGTCACGTAGGTGTAAAATAAAATAAAAGTGCCGAAGCAATTGTTTCTTGCTGCGGTTGTCCCGCCTGATGACGGACGCTTGTGTTGCACCTGAAATTTTATTTTATACCTACGTGACTTTACCGAAAGAACCAAAGAGTGTGGATCCCTGCAGTCACGAAAACTTCAAATCTAAATCATTTAATAATGTCTTGTAAGGAAAGTTGTCAACTGGAGGTCTAGGAATGCTTGTGGGTACCACACGCATCAGTCGTCATTCGCAACCATGGTCTCTCCACTGCTGGATGAAGGCCTCCTTACGCCGTCACCGACTTAACGGTCTCGTGATGCCACGGTCCATATCGTGCCTGCTCACGAACTGATCGCACCGCTCCCATCTCTACAGCGGTCATCCTTTCGGGTGTGCTTTTCTCTCTTTGGCTGCCACTCGGTAGTATTTATCACCCGCAACCTCAACATTGCACCCGCTTGCGTGTCGCAGCAGCGATGATGATGACTGCGACGAGAGTGAGCGCGATCAGTCGGAGCAGAACCCTGGCCACTCGCGCAGCTCCGGCTTCAAGCCTCGCTGGACCAGGGAGGAGGTGAGTGCTAGCGAGCACCCCAGCAGGGTGGCGCCAAGGTGACAATTGTGCCTCACAGCAAGAAGGGCCTGGGTTCGATTGATGACTCGGGCACCTTTCTGAGTGGAGTTTTTACGATCTCCCCCTCTAGTGTAGAGTGTGTGAGTGTATTGAGTTTGCATGATCTCCACCTCTACTGCAGAGTGCGCGACCCCCCCCCCCGATTCATACTTATACTTGTGACTTGTACTTTTGCTGCACGCACGGCGAGAAGCCGAACGTGTATTTGAGGTCGTGTAACCGTATCACCTGCGCAAGAAATGAGTCCATATGACTAGTGAATAATTAGCTGTACAGTACTGTACTATGTTCAACATTTATATACATTTATAGACATTTTATATCCACTCTGACATTGTATAGCTACACTCGTGTAGGCGAACCCCAACTTGCGCAAATTCACGCTTACGCGGGGGTACACGGAACCTAACCCCCACCGTGTACTCTCAGATGTTGCTGTATATTTACTATTATTTGATGTAGCGAAATTCATGCAATTTTTATCTCATAACGCCGGATTCTGCAGTGCATGGCTGGGCGACCACCATGCACAACAGGATGATATATGCTGCTGCGAGGCTACTCGGTTGGCAGCAGAGGGCAAATGCGGCAAAAGCCATTGTTGTACTGCACTTCTATGCCATCACGACTATGTTCCCCACCTTCACAGCCCTGCACTGACCAGCGTGGAGAAGTATTATCAAAATAACCTCCCTGAGTGACATGGCGGTGGATTGACAAAGAGCTGTAGTCTGTGTGCGTGTACACAACAACAAGAAGTGCTTTTGCTTTCCTTGAAGCCATCGCTAACGACCTTGCCACAGTTGTGAGCGAAGGGCCATTAATACGCTTCTAGAGCGGTGAGCGAGCTAATGCACGATTTTTTTTACATCTTGATGTGATTTTGTAAACGCTGGCTCCTGCCAAAGGCTCAGTTGTGTCAAGTTGAAATGCTCTTGTAAGGATGTGCACTTATTATAATTGTCCAGTGTGGGTGTGTCCCTGCACTGCACACCCAAGTTTTTTTTGTACTTTTCATGTCAACATTACAGCCCTTCTGTCAATCTACCACTGGATGAGGGCTTTCCCTTGCCTACCGGGAGCATGGAGGGTGTTTGACTTTACTTTAACACGCTGCTCAGTTGCGGGGTGGTAAAGGTTAGCAGCAGGGATGTGGAATCATAGAAGTGCAGGACAACAGTGTACAGGCGATCTCCGGTTTACGATAGTCCACATTCACGACGTTTATATAACGCCACCATGGATCGATTAACGACGCAGGAACTTGATTTACGATGCATCTTCCGACATGACTGAACACATTTGAACAGAGTCGAGTCTGGTTTCGGATGTGACTTGGCATGGAGCTTTTGTATTTTAAAGGTTTTTGTGGATTTTCATTCTTTTAAAGCGATTAAATAAACGGCTGATGAAAGGAAAAAAAATCACATCGGCAAGTGATTGTGTCTACTGTATCTACTGCCTGTAGGAAAATTGGGTCCGGTTTTACGATGGCGTTTCCAGGAATGGATTGTGTCGTAAAAGCGCGGACCTCCGGTATTTTGTTGCATCAGTGCCCTCTGCTGCCCCGTACCCCTATCGCCACCGATGACTACATGGCATGCGTGGTGCTCGCCCGTCCTAGGCAATAGCCAGGCACAAAGCTGCTTGCCTTCTGACACCAGACCTGGATGTGGGGTGTGCATTCCTGGTAATCTGGTCCTTGGCTTTATTTTGCACAGTAAGTGATAAATGGTTACATCTTGCACGGTAATGCATTTCAGGTTCGGAGGAGATGAGATTATGGGTGAAGGAATTGCATTGGAACCCTTAGTGTGTGCAATGTATTTGAGAAGCGGTGGTGCAGCGGTTAGCGTGCTGCGCTACGAACCTGGTGATCCGAGTTCGATTCCCGCTCGCAGCCAACAGCAGTGACGAATATCTTGACTGGTCTTGGGCCTCCCCTAGGTTTACTCGGCCGCAAATGAATAAGTGGTGCGGTGTGTAAACATCGCCACTGGGGAGACAAAGGTGGCCGGTAGTGGTGCTGGCCACCCACTCCCTCGGGTGCTGTGCCGGCCTTCTAGGTGCTACTCGCTAACAGCACTTGCCCCAACAGTCTGTTAAAGCTATATGGGGGATCTTTGTCTTGTTTCATGCACCCGGTGACCTTGAGTTCGATCCCCGGCACAATGTTAGTGGCGATTTTCTGAGCTGGTCCTGGGCCTCCCCTAGGTCAACTCAGCCTTAAATGAGTACTGGATATGGTGCGTAAGCATTCGGCAATCGGGAGACAAAAGCTGGGTGTGGTGCTGGACACACCACCTCCCAGTGCGATGTGCCGCCCATCGTAGGTGGCAGCAGGGTGGGCGCAGTGGTAACTCTTGTGCCTCGGAGCAAGAAGAATCTGGGCTCGTTCCTGGGTGCCTCTCTGTGTTGGCTATAGAAGGGATAGTTTTGTGTGTGTGTGTGAGAGATGTAACCTTGTCCGGCTTTGCATTTTCAGGATGACCAGCTGAAGAGTATTGTTGACAGGTTGGGAGTGAAGGACTGGAAGTTGATCGCAAGCAACATGCCGGTACATCGTCTACTCGGGACTGGGAACTGAACCATGAGGGATTGGTTGCATATTGCAAATGTGCTTACATCTGGCGAAGAACACTTTGACGAGAAGTCGTATGTTAGTCTGAGCTCATATCGATATGTGTGCGGTCATGGCAAAGAAGAACGGCAGTCAAGAAAGTAGTTTTGTCGTAGTAACTTCATCAGTCAACATGCACGCAGTGCTGATCAAGCAATGGACCATTCCTGCTTAGACAATGTGTTTCAATGTGGATAGCTCCTCATCATTATCCCTTATGGTTCAGATTTGTTGCGTTTCCTTTCCGCGCACCTCCGTTTAGCGCGGTTGGCTACGTACGGCGCGAAAGAAGTTCAATATACATACGTACATTATCAGCCATGATCAATCCACTGCTGGGTGAATGCCTCCCCAAGTTGCTGCCACCTAACACAATCTTGGGATGCAACGATCCATCCAGCACCTACACATGAGCTGAATTCGCCACTCCATCTAATTGGAGGAAGTCCGCTTCGTCACGTTCCATTCCTTGGCTTCAACTCCACTATTATTATTATTGACCATCGTCCATCGCTCCTTCACGCGACATCTTCTACCAAAACCCACTTTTCTTAATGCTTCTAATGATGTCATTAATCTGCGTATGTGTGTTTTCACTTCCTTCGGTCTTGCGCAAATCCCCATGGGTCTATCTGTCAGCTTGACACCGCGATTGGATGGTCGCCTTATGGGGCCTGTTGACTCGCTCAGGGGGTGGGTTGGTAATGGGTTTGTTTCAGTTGTAACGAATGGGTATACTTTTTATTGCGTCGTGTAATTTAAACTTTTAATTGATGTAATGTGATATACGTGTTAATGTGCCCATCTGTGAAGCGCTCTGTGACAATTTGATTGTGAAGGGTGCTATACCAAGTAATGTTGATTGATTAACTTCCTGTCTCACAATGCACTTTCAACTGTTGCCTGTGATAAAATAAAAAAATGAAGTACTTTTGGATATTTAATTTAGCTTCGCTGCATCGATGTTAAGGGATAAATTTGTAGATGTAGCTAACAACTGGCTCCCAGTGAACACAAGTCTCGGATGAGGATTTGCAAGTATTTCGTGCTTGAGCACAAGCGATATCTACGAGTACTTTTACGCTGACTGGCCTTTGCTGCGTTGTGTTATCTCTTTCCGTCAGAACCGGTCGGACACTCAGTGTTTGAACCGCTGGCAGAAGGTACTCAGCCCCGAGCTGGTGAAGGGACCGTGGACTAAGGAGGAAGATCAGAAGGTGAGAGGTCACCGTGCCGCTGGGCAGCGCCACCTTGCCACCTTGCTCCGCGTTTCTTTTGCATTGGAAATCACTCCGAATGTGCCTGATCCCGTCGGATGCGGGAAACTACGCGGGTCCGCAAATGCGTTTAGATTATTTAGGTTGTTTGGCTGCTATAAATTTTCACGTGATAAGCCGCTTCGTTGAGCTATCATTTGTGGCCAGGTTGCTCCTGAAAGAAGCTAATAGCTTAGTGGGCTTTACCTAGTAAGAAAAACAATAAAGTAGTTTTGTTTTATTTGTATTTTTTAAAGTTATTTGTTTACCTTTCCTATACTTTACACTGCTATCGTGTTTTTGTAATACTTGTTGTAACATTCTGATCTGTCCCGATTGGACATCTATGAAAAAGAGCTTCATAGCTCATCGGATTCCTCCACTATGAATAAATATTATTATTTAATTTCATCTCCTGGTTAAACTGACGGGGGCCAACCAACAAGTGTGGTTTGTCCCGCCGTCGCGGCTCTGGCACCGTGTCCCCCCCCTCTACCCCGCGTGTGCAGGTGATAGAGCTGGTGCAAAAGTATGGCCCCAAGTCCTGGGCCCTCGTCGCCAAGCAGCTGAAGGGGCGCATCGGCAAGCAATGCCGTGAGCGCTGGATCAACCACCTCAACCCTAAGGTGAAGAAGTCATCGTGGACCGAGATGGAGGACCACATCATCTACGAAGCTCACAAGAGCCTGGGCAACCGCTGGGCTCTCATCGCCAAGTTGCTGCCCGGCCGGTCAGGAGCTCACACTTAATGCCGCTCCCCCACCCTTATCCCAACCCCCCTCCCTCTCACCGTATCTTGTATTCAGCCATCCTCCATCCGAGGGTTGGCCGCACGGGCAATCCTTGGCCACCGACTTCCGGCTTCTGCTGTCCTCATTGTCTGTTCTAGCGTGAGCCTTGTCCATGCTTTGATGCTATCTATCCGTGTCATCCTTTGTCTACCTCGCGCACACGAACCGGGTATCATGCCTTGCATAATCCGCTTTTCCAAAACAAGTTCCATTTTTTCTCATGACATGACCATAGTAGGCTAGCTTTCTTGATTTTATCACCTCTTACAGTTTTCTTTCAACATTAGCTTTCTCTAGAACCCATTCATTTGTTTTTTTTTTATTTCCACGATACGCGTAGTAATATCCGCCCGAGTTCTTACATTTCAAAGGCGTTTATCCGTGCCTCGTCGTTCTTCTCTCACCGTTCATCACTTATTACCGTCGTACAAATAGCTCTGCAGCATCATCCGCTTCTGCGGGGCCGTTCTCTGATAACACCGAGGGTTGCTCACCGCTCTGCGGGAGGTCCGAATGAATGCTTTTTCTTTCTCGTGACGCGGCGATACCGGCGGCACAATCCGGATAAAGTTGGGGAGAAATACAAAATACCAACAAAGAATATATCAAATGTTTTTTTTTCGGGTTCTTGCTTGCAAAGAGGCAGTGTGCCTCAATGGGCTTTAATTTGTAAGAATTGTAATTTGTGTAATGAGCGACTTCCACGACACGTCGTGTAGAGGGTGCTCTTCTTTAATCCACGTACGGGCACAGCACAGGCCAACGTTATAGGCTTCCTCTCCAAGTACACACTTAGATATTAACGTTCTACAGACTACACACACGGTTGATCACACGGCGGGTTCCGCCCGTCCGCTCCCGGTCTCGCCGCTGGCTGACGGCGTGCCGGGGAGGACGGTGGAACTCCGCAGGAGATCTGCCACGTGGCCGAACGACGGAGAGAGATGACGGCGAGCAGCGATGCAGTCCGGACCCAAGACTCCACGCACCGACCACGAGTCCGCCTCCGCTTGTATTGCCGCAGGCGCGGCTAGGCTCCGCCTCCGCTTGTATTGCCGCAGGCGTGGCTAGGCTCCGCCTCCGCTTGTATTGCCGCAGGTGCGACTAGGCTCCGCCTCCGGCCACGCCCCCTCGTGGAACTTTCTAGCCGTTCTTGGAGTTTCTCGGCCGGCCTCGCCCTTCACCTTTGGCCTCGATACCTCTCCCTTTGGGGATTGGTTTATGTTTATAATGGTGCCTGTACCCGTGCTTCCCTTTTCCAACCAGTAGATGTCACTATCTCATTACATTTGTAAGAAAATTTAATAATCGAGGAAAACTGAAATGTAATATCTGGCAATTCGAGGCAGTGTCCTCTTCTCTTCTACCAACAATTTCCACACACCTGCGTGCTAACCCTCAGGGAATGGACTCGATGGGAATTTTCAGCACTCGGACACTGGATGCCGAAGGTGGCTGCGCGTGGCTCACAACATCAGATTTCTATTTAACAACACGCTGCGGTGGTGAGACGTTATCTCCCTCGCCTCGTATGCAGGAGGTCGTGGGTTCAGTCTCAACTCTGACGCCTGTATGTTTGGAGTTTGCATGTTCTCCCCGTGGTCGTGTGGATTTTTCTCCGGGTCCTCTGGTTTTTACCCTTGACGTTTAGAATCAATGTGGGTTTAGAGTATTTGGCCGCTATAAATTTCCACGTGATAAGCCTCTCCATTGAGCTATCATTTGTGGCCTGGTCGCTTCTGAAAAAGAGCTACGTAGCTCAGTGGACCCTTACCTGGTGAATAGAATAGTTTAGTTTCAGATGTGCATCATTGAATGCACCAAGCTCTCAGCCTGTTCCAAAAAAACCAGAACTGATCCTGTGGCCATTTTGTCATTTTACGCCGGAAAATGAAAGAACTCAGAAACTGTCACCATCCCAACAGCCAAGACCGAACTGTTTAACCAAACTTACAATGTATGAATACTGCAGACCTGTGATAACCTGGGTTATTATTATGGGTTGCGTGTTTAGAAATGTACCTGCTTTGTGCCCAGGACGGACAACGCCATCAAGAACCACTGGAACTCGACCATGAGGCGGAAGGTGGAGAAGATGGGCTACCCGACGGAGAACACGGTGCCCGCGTGCCTGGCGGCCGCACCTCAGCCGCAGGTGCCATTCGTCCTGATGTGCCCGTCCTCGCGGAGCGGCTCCACGCTGCAGTGCATCCAGATCAGCGACTCGAACTCGGTACGGGCACGTGCGGTAAGCGTAAACGCGGAACACGCGCCGCATGCATAAACGCGGTATGCGCACATGCGGTACACGCAGTACGCGCACGCAGTACGCACGGTAAACGGAGTACGCATGGTACATGGGGTACACATGCGGCGCACACGGTACGCACGCGGAGTATGCACAGTGCACGCGGTACACACGTGCGGTGTACGCGGTTACACGTCGTGTAACACGTGGTGTTTCTTCGCATGGCTTGCCCACACCTGTGCACTGTGCAGCAATACCCGTTGGTGCTTTACACAAGTGCCACTGCCAGCCAGCAAGTTGATGGCGTGGAAGTGGACACCGAGGTGAGACACCCAATGCGCACCAACACGAACACGACGAGTGTTTTGTTTTTACTTCACTTGGGGAGTGCCGTGGAAAAGTAAATTGACGAATGAATAAAATGCCACCGGTGCTAGATGATACATTGTTCTCTTTGAGAGGGACCAGCAGAACTGTGGGGGGTCACTACCCAACGTGTACTCTTCACATCCAGCTCGTTTTTATTAGTCGACTTGAGCCACTTAATCTGGATTTGAAGCTTTCGTGACTGCAGGAATCCATACTCTTTGGTTCTTTCGGTAAAGTCACGTAGGTGTAAAATAAAATAGATCGCGACTTTTCGGGGAAAATAAATCACGACGTTTCAGCACGAGGACCATTGCTTTCCCACCTGATGACGGACGCTTGTGTTGTGCCCGAAACGCCGCGATTTATTTTATTGTATACCTACGTGACCTTTACCGAAAGAACCAAAGAGCATTGAGCCACTTAGCCTGCGAACCCAGTCCAGATGTTTTACTTGTCGATGCCACGTGAGGAGGCGGAACTTTTATCGGTGACCAATAACATCGAATGGGTTGTGTTATCAAGTACTGTAAATTCACCCGTATTAGCCGTATACATCAGCCGCCTCAAGTAAGTCGGTGCGATCACCGTGGTGCCGATTTCTGCTCCGGGCCGCCCGTGGAGTTAATTGTTGAGTGGCTTGGCGTGGTTGACCGTTGGCCGCCTCCGTTGACTGAGAGAGCTTCTCTCAGCAGCTGGAGCTGAAGCCTGACATCAAGGTGGTGTCCGAGCGGTGCGCCGAGGCCTTGGCTTGCCCACTGCCGGTACGGCAGCAGCATCAGCCGGAGGAGCTCCCGTTGCCCGCGCCGGTGGCCACGGTCGGGGTAGAGCCGCAAAGCGAGCCAGCTGTGGGTGAGGTGGTGCCGACGACTGAGGACGAGGCGGCCGCAAACCAGCTGGTGCTGGTGGACGGCGCGGAGGGCTCGTCTCCGCTCGAGGCCATCTCCGAGTTCGCCGACGCGCTGCAGTTCATCGAGTCGGTACGTCCTCGTCACCACGGCGCCTCTGTCCCCGCGCACTGTAACGTCACGGTCACTGCGAGGCGTCGTACCTGTCTTGTCTCTCGGTGATTGTCTCGTCACGTCTTTGCGATTGTGTCTCGTTGCTTGCGTAATTGTGACTGACGCGTTACATCTCTTTGACTGTGTCTCGTCCTGTCCCTGTGACTCGTCATGTCCCTGTGATTGTCTCGTCTCGTCCCCGTGACTCATGTCATGTCTCCGTGACTCATGTCATGTCCCCGTGACTCATGTCATGTCCCCGTGACTCATGTCATGTCCCCGTGACTCATGTCATGTCCCAGTGACTCATGTCATGTCCCCGTGACTCATGTCATGTCCCCGTGACTCATGTCATGTCCCTGTGACTCATGTCATGTCCCTGTGACTCATGTCATGTCCCAGTGACTCATGTCATGTCCCAGTGACTCATGTCATTTCCCTGTGACTCATGTCATGTCCCTGTGACTCATGTCATGTCCCAGTGACTCATGTCATGTCCCCTGACTCATGTCATGTCCCCGTGACTCATGTCATGTCCCCGTGACTCATGTCATGTCCCTGTGACTCATGTCATGTCCCCGTGACTCATGTCATGTCCCCGTGACTCATGTCATGTCCCCGTGACTCATGTCATGTCCCCGTGACTCATGTCATGTCCCTGTGACTCATGTCATGTCCCTGTGACTCATGTCATGTCCCTGTGACTCATGTCATGTCCCCGTGACTCATGTCATGTCCCCGTGACTCATGTCATGTCCCCGTGACTCATGTCATGTCCCTGTGACTCATGTCATGTCCCCTGGCTGTGTATCGTTGTGTCTTTATAACTGTTTCGCGTTGCATCCCTACGGCCGTCTCATCATGCCTCTGTAACTTTGTCTCATCGTGTCTCTCTAACTATGTCGCGTTAGGTCCCTGTGCCTGTCGTTGTGTCTGTAACTGTGTCGCGTTATGTCTGTAACTGTCTGGACGTGTCTTCGTAACTGTGTCACGACGTCTCTGTAACTGTGTCGAGTCGTGTCTGTAATTGTCGTCGTGTCTCTAATTGTCGTCGTGTCTCTAATTGTCGTCGTGTCTCTAATTGTCGTCGTGTCTCTGTAATGGTGTCGTCGCGTCCCTGTGACTGCGTCTCGTCGCGTCAACGTGTGGTCGTGTCTCGTCACGTCCCGGTGACTATCACGTCATATCCACGTGCGCTTGTGTCTGGCAGGAAATGTTTTTCGATGACTCAACCTCGCTGGGAGAGATCTATGAGCTGGCCGAGCTGGTCGAAGGGACGGTCATCCCCAGCGCCGCCCCACAGCCGCCTGTGATCGATGCTCATCCCAGCGCGCCCGTACGTCGCGGCGCAACCACGCACTCACACTTTCTCTCTCTCCGTCTCTTCCCTCCCTCACCAGGTACGGCACCTCTCCTACCAGTGTTACCCCTTAGCGCAATGTTCTTGACTCATCTTCGCCGATAAGACATCATCAGTGTGAGCAGGGCCGCCGCACATTTGATGATATGGGGGGAGGGGTGCTTTCACTATTTGTGTATTGTCGGGGGCCGTCGGTGGCCCCGCGGCCCTTGCAATGAAGAACACAGCCTTTGGCACACGTGATTTTTCTGTGGGTATACTCTGGTTACCTCCCACGTGCATGAATAACACTCGAGAATGGAGTTGGCCAAGCATCACAATATAGGACTATAGTTTGCAATTATTGGCGCCGGTTCTGACTGCTTCCCACTTTGGCTGCGGTGTCTCCCGTGCCTCCGTGTGCCGTGCTTAACGAGCGCACGTTGCACATTTCCGCGAGGCTTAATCTGCGATTTGCAGGAACGACGGCTTACAAACATAAAGCGGTGTTATTGCTATTACATGTGACATTGACCCTTGCCTTGTATTCCATTCCCAGGCCAACTCGAAGCAGCTGCCGCAAATTACTCCCGAGGCGGAGGTGCCTCTGCTGACGACGCCCACGGTCACCGTCAAGTTCAGCCCTCCCACCATCCTGAGGCGCAGGAGCGTGCGCGGGGTCAGCCACTCCTCCCCCGCCTTCTCGTCGTCGCTGATGGACGAGATGAGCGAACTGCAGGACACTCCCAAAAGCACGCCCCTCAAGAAGCTCAGCTTCTCCCCGTCGCAGGTAGCACACCCCCCCCCCCCCACGCCCTTTGCCACTGACAGTAGAGGCCCGTCATCTGCTGCTTCTTTGCCTCGTTCACGTCTCGCCGCAGTGGGGAGATGTTAACTACCTCAACCTGTTATGAAAGAGGTTGTGGGTTCGATCCCAACCCTGACGCCCGCTGTATGTTTGGAGTTTGCGTGCTCTATCACTTCACGAAACGTCACGCGACACGGATCCCCGTAGTCACCTATTGGCAGCTGTCCCTGCGCGCAGCCCAAGGTGACTCGGCACCTGGCTCGGCATTAGTCTGCCAGGAGGGGGCGATGATCTTGGTACTTTTGCTATTTGGACGTATTGTCGGTACACCGGTGCAGCATAACACACCGGTCCCTGTAAAACAGTCTAAAATCGAAATTTGAATCGGCAGATATGTATAGCAGTCTTTAATTGATCCTCTCGCCAAGTTTGACGCGATTCCCATGTCAACGTTGACCATTCGTCCGATCAAGTCTAGGGCACGAGGAGTCAATTCTGCCTATGGAACACTGAGCCAGCCAATCTTCATCAGGCTGGGTGTTGCTATATTGCAAAAGACCGCGACGCTTCGTGTTCAGCCGCTCATAAGATTCGTCTCCTTCCGACTGCTTCAGCATAACGAGAACTGATTTTGCCGCACCACCACCACTCCCCCGCAATATTTTCTGACCGGGGTTGCGAATCGCGGGAAAATAAATAATAATAGTGAAAATTTTGCTTTTTTTTTTATACCGTGCACCACCGGTGTACTGCCAATACGTTCATTTCTTGGACACTTAGCCTCGAGCCAGACATTGCGCGAATGGCGCGGCTGCGTGGTTGTGCCCGTGCGTGCAGTTCCTGAACGTGAAGGTGCAGGACGGCATCCGCTTGGATTCGGGCCCGTCCCTCACCTCTACTCCTGTGTGCAGCCACAAGGTGGAGGTGACCACGCCACTGCAGAGGGACCACACGCCGAAGCCCTCCAAGGGTGGTGGCAAAGCGTACGTTCCCTCTGCCCTGTTCCTCCGTCCCCTCTGGTCCTCCACCCCTCTGATCCTCCACCCCTCTGATCCTCCACCCCTCTGTTCTGTTCCTCCACCCCTCTGTTCTGTTCCTCCACCCCTTCTGTTCTGTCCCTCCACCCCTCTGTTCCGTCCCTCTGTTTATACTTTCCCCTGTTCCTTCCTGGTGCAGCTACATTTCTCATTCTAAATGTGAATGCTTGATATTGAGGTTCATCGCATATCAGGCATTGTGTGAGCTGAAATTTAGTCAAATTGATGGGAGAACCAAATTTATTGTGAAGGATTTTTTTCGTGTGCAGTTGTGCTGAGAACATCACCACACCTGAGAACCCGGCTGGTTTCATCTCGGATGGCTGAAATCCAGATCCAAACCCAGGATCTGAGTGGTGCCGGCTCAGCTCACTGAATAACCTCGCCACCTTGGGATATTCCTATTCTTTGCAAGTGAACCCTTTCACCGTTCCGAGACATCTGCAAGTTGCAGGGTGGTGGATGTCCCGTTCACTATTAAATCTCAGAACTTGCGAGCGGCTCAGCGTTAATTTTATTTAGAGAAGCGTAACGCCGTTGTTTTTAAAGACATTGTTACTCACTGCAGAAAACCATAGCGACACGACCGCCGCCACTCTACAATAGCTGGCCGCCAAACTGTGCCACATGCCCCTCTCCCGCATGGCCTTGTGGGAGCCTCGGTACCGAAAAAGTTGTTTTATTTTAGTTTTTATTTTGGTGTCATTTTGATGATGTACACGCACGTCACCGGAACGGAATCAGAAGAAAAACCGATGATGTACACGGCTATGAACGTTTCTGCCATACGAGATGACGCGAGAGGCCTCTCTTTTGTCACCGCTGGCAGCTACCGCACCCTCAACATCCGGCGCTCCATCCTGGGACCGCCTCGTACCCCCACGCCATTCAAGAAAGCCCTGGCAGCCCAGGAGAGCAAGTACGGTCCCGTCAAGCTAATGGTGAGGACAATGATAACCCCGGGGTCACCTTTTTATTAAGCGTTTGCTTTCACACTCGCCATACGTCGAGTATGAAAGTTTAATGGTTTTATAGTAAACTATAAAACCATTAAACTATTTTCTATTTTACCAGGTCAGGGCCCCACTGAGCTATGTGCCTCTTTCTCAGAAGTGACCTGGCCATCGCAAATGATAGCTCAACGAAGTGGCTTATCATCATCATGTGGAAATTTATAATAGCCAAATACTCTAAAACACGTTTCTAAATGTGGAGGGAAAAGCCGGAGTGCCTGGAGAAAAATCCACGCGACCACGGGGAGACACATGCAATCTCCACATATACATGCGTCAGTGTCGGGATCGAATCCACGACCTCCTGTATACCAGGCGAGGTATATAACATCTCGCCACCGCAGCAGGCTCACAAATGATCATCAGCATCTGTAGTCATTATATGTGTGCCTACAGCCCATTTGTTAATCGGCTGTTGGATGATGGCCTCGTCTGTGCAGGTCTCAGGCTGACCATACTTCAGTGCAGGTTTGTGCAGGAGGCGAGCATAGATGTGGTCGTGTAAAGTTGCAGTACAACAATGGATGTTGCTGCAATGCCCTCTGCTGCCCACCACGCAAGCCCCACAGCTTAGAACACTTGTACACGTGGATTGGCCAACGTTCTCTTACAAGGCTGTAGCAAAGAGCCCCACGTGGTTTGGGTAATTCGATGATACATGGCAGGAGTATGATGGTGGCGCAGCGGTAATACTGCGCACGCACTATGTGCGTGTAATATAGCTCATTTCCGTTGCTGTTACCCTTTACCAAGGAAAGCCTCATTCGGTCTCAAGACACTTTTTTTCAGGAGGGTTCCTGCCAAGTTTTTGCATTCGGGAGCGATGGTGCTGTGTGCATAATTCCATTGTGTAATTGGGTCGTTTGCAGCCTCAGACACCTTCCCAGCTGGAGCAGGACCTGCTGGAGGTGCTGGAGAAGGATGTGTCCTCGTTGCAGGACACCCCAGGAAGATTCACCGGCCTGCGCTCGGCCAAAACCGGTAACCCCTGGAAGGTGAGCAAACCTCGTGACTGCAGCGTTGTGGGAGCACCTTCACCACACAGTGATTGCAGCGCCGCGGTGGTGGCTCGGAGATGTTAACTCCCTCGCCTGGTATGTAGAAGTTTGTGGGTTCGATCCCATACCTGACACCTGCTGTATATTTGGAGTTTGCGTTTCTCTCTCCCCGTGACTGCGTGGATTTTACTCCAGGTCCTCGGGCTTTTCCCTCCACATTTGGAATCGACGTGCATATGCAGTATTTGGCTGCTAGACATTTCCACGTGATAAGCTACTTTTGTTGAGCTATCATTTGTGGCCAAGTCGCTTCTGAAAAAGAGCCACACAGCTCAGTGGGCCTTACCTGGTAAAATAAACACGTTTTAATTTAGTTTGCAGAGCTGCAAGGAGAAGGCTCCAGCACCACCGCCTCAGGGCAGCTAGGGATGGGTAATAAATGCTGGGCAGCACTGTCCCTCCAGGCCACGCGTTTTCTCATTTGAGCTTCAGCGTAAAGGGCTCCGAGGCGCATTTATTGAAGTGAAGTGGGCCGCATAAATGAATAACACGCAGCAACCGTTGAGCGTCGCTCCAGAGAATATAAGCCACAAAATAATTAATCGAACATAATACCTTGTTCCCATATTTTTCTCTTGACACCAATAAACAAAAGTGCATTTTACACAACCTGTTGGCCACACGGCCTTCCAGGAGTGTACCTTAGCATCATCGGTTCAACACAAGCACACACAGTTTCGACCTTTGGTGTCTCATCAGCAGAGTAAGGCTTGTTGTTGTAACCGATGTTGGTGAAATGACTGATATTTAGAGGCATTTACCCTCTATTTGGAATGGGTACTAGTTTGATGTAAAACTAGATAACACACAAAATAATAAGCAGATGTATAATGCCTTCGTCGCACGTACAAATTAAGAGTGATTCGTCGATACTCTTACGAGTATGGCAAAATTAGTGACCAAGTGGGAGACGTGCGAAGGCCGGGATGAGTAAGGGGGGGGGGGTGCAGTAATGAAGTAATTGGGGGGCTCGCGTAAGCAACGTCCTCGGATCTGTCGGCACCGGACCAGAAGCGGCTCGGTGCCGTCAGCATTGGGGGGAGGCTTTGATGATGAATTTCCGACGTGACCATGCATCACCCTGAAGGTGCCCATTAAGCCACCTGACACTGCTCGCTCACGTTATTAAAGATCATACGCCACCGCACCTCTCATTCTTCTTTCTCTTATTCTGGTCAAGTGGCTCAGCGATAGAGCGAGCAGCTCTCAATCTGAAGGTTGAGAGAAGTTACTTTTGGCGTCCTCTGTTCCAACACCAATGGAGACTAGGCTCTAAGAAAAGCCGTCTCGGGTGTGGACCAATCAAATTCAAGGACAGTGCATATTATCAGAGTTGTCTTTTTTGTTTGCATTTTGACTGCTTGTGTTGTGGTTATTGCAAACATGATGCCTTGAATAAAGGTGTCAGTTTTTGTGGCAGTTAAAAGGGTAAAACCTATTACTATACCTTCATTTGCTTCGCGTCCACTCTAAGCATTGCATGGCATTCAATCTGCCGGATATTTTCCTTCCCGTCCAATATCCAAAAGCATTTGTTTAATCTGGCAAACTAAATAATAGTGTGTGGCATGTACTGGTGCTCACGGTCAGACGATTGACCCTCTACTTCATGGCTTGGTTTAATTACTGGTGGCTGCCGAGGTTCATCAAGCCAGGACCGTAGCGATGTTGGCTCATGGGGTTGACATGCCATTAACCTTTTAGCTATTCACAGACACTTCCACATTGCTCTTCACAACAATTAGCACACTCGGTGTTAATAGGAGGTGGTTACTCGGTAGATCAGAGGTCAAGAGTGCTGAGCTGGCACCGCTGACATTGTGGGTTCCAATCCAAGAAGCCACTCATAATTAAACCTACTGAAGAAGTTTTATTTTACCAGGTCTGGCCCACACTGAGCTATATAGCCCTTTTTCAGAAGCGACCTGGCTATCAAAAATGATAGCTCAACAAAGTGGCTTATCACTTAGATATTCATAGCAACCAAATACTCTGCAAATGCATTAATCTAAATGTGCAGGGAAAAACTGAAGGAACCGGAAAAAAATCCACACAGCCACGGGGAGAGAGACACCGCAAATTCCAAATATACAGCAGGCATCGGGGTCGGAATCAAACCCACGACCTCCTGCATACCAGGCGATGTAGTTAACATCTCGCCTCCGTGACCCACACAAAAAAGACATTGCGTTCAATTTCGTTCCGCACTTCATTTCACTAAACTCCACCTCTAAGAATCAAACCCTATGCAAATCGTTTAACTGTCTTGTGAAGAACAAAATTCTGTCATTTGGGGGGGGGGGGGGGGGGTGGGAGTGTGCTGAATCTCCAAAGGTAGCGCTGTGGTGTCGGATTCCGTGGGCCGCTTCACCACGAAGGGTTATTGTGCTGCTCTGCTGCTAGGCATCCGAATGGGATATTTCGGCTTCTGACGTGAAACGCAAGAGCACAATTTAGGGAAGGTCATTTGCAAACGTTTTTAAAATGTACCGTCAGCCAGTATGAATCTTGTCCGTTGCACAAAGGGCAGCGCTGCCTGCATCCATAGCAGAAAGCCCGCCTGTGCCCTCGGCTGAGCCGAACGAGTTGTAAATCAAGCGTGCGATTGATTGACGACCGAAGCATAGCATGAAGCCCCCACCCCCGTGAGCTCACCACCGTGTAACGTTTGGATTTCAACCTTAGCTTTGATAATAAGTAATAATTCAAATTTAGAAAGCTCATTCCATCCCAGGATCCCAATGCGCGATGCTTGAAAAGCAGAACCAGGCCATCCGACCAAACTAAGGAGGGAAGGCCAGTTTAAACAGATGGGTTTTCAAAGCAGACTTAAACATATCTACCGACTCCGGTTGCCTGATTTCAAGTGGCAAGGCGTTCCATAGAGCGCACACCGACGCGACGGGTGAGTGAAAACAAACCATTCGCTCTCTCGTATCGGCACAGAGGAATTGCGTGCGGCTTTGCTGCGGGGGGTGCTTCTCTCTGTACTGAGCGGCGTGCCCTGGTGCTATCTGCAGGCCGACTTTCCCGCCAAGCGTGCTCGCAAATCTCTGGCCCTCGACAAGATGGACACTGAGAACTGCTGCCATGTCCTGCCAACCAAGGACCAGGCCGTCGTCAACCCTACCAGCAAGGTAACCAGTGTAGCGGCGAGCACAGTAACTTGCGTGGTAACCAGAGTGGTAACTTGTGTGGGAACTGGTGCGATAACCGGCGCCATAACCGATGTGGTAACTAATGGGTTTCCATCACGGTAACCAGAGTGGTAGCTAATTGGCATGGTCACCAGACTGGTACCCATCAAGGTAACCACCACAGTATAACCAGTGGTAGCTATCACGGTAACCAACGAACGAGTGCGGTAACCAGCACCCCGCCCTCTTGGTCCTACAGAAATAGCAATACGCAAAAGTGCTGCTGCCCGTACACAGCAGGAAGGCATGAATCCCCATCATGCTTTGCATCGATGTTTTGCACACACAGTGCAATCACGGTGGCCGTTCGGGAGAGCCCCGAAACATCGTTTGAAGACGAGTAAGGCCACGGTGTGCCAGCATCGCCAATCGTCGCTTATACCACTGGCAGGGCACACAGCTCGGGCAAATTGTTCGTGCCAGTCTGGCTGCCTTGCAGCTTGGTTGCGATGTCCTGCCCTCGCGAGCGAGACGGACCGAGTGGAGCCCCCTCTTGTTAGTCGCCCTCTTGTTAGTCGCCCTCTCGTTAGTCTTCCTCTCGTTAGTCACCCTGTCGTTAGTCTTCCTCTCGTTAACCGCCCTCTCGTTAGCCACCCTCTTCCATGAGGTCCGACGATTGTGTACAGCAACATCCCCGTTCCTGTCTCCCCCCTTTCACGCGGTTTCGCAGACGCGTCGTCGCTTTATTATAAACGCCACTCGCCGATTTTTGCGTCGCCTCAGCCCCCGCGCTCACGTCGCTGACGGCATCGTCCGCCCCCTCTCGTTATCCGTTGCCTCTCAGCCTTTGCCTCCACCACCGCCGCCCGCTACGACTCTACACAATCTATATTCGCTGCTAATAAATAAATAAATAGATGTGGACCGCCACTTCTTTCAAATGTTTCTTGCCGTTGGTTTTTCACACCTGATGATGACCGATTGTGTTATGGTCGAAACGTCGTGAATTTTTTATTGGTTTATATATATTTTATTATTTTATTGTTTCCCTTCAACGAAAGAGCTAAGGATATGAATTACTGCAGTCACGAAAGCTTTAAATCAAAATTCTACACAATCTGCTTTGTGTCGCACATAAAGAAATGTACTGTACCTTACAATATATGATTAATGTACATTATTTAGGTGATTGTTTTTGTATTGTACTGCATTTTATTGTACCCTGTATAATTTGTGTTAAAGTATGTTAAAGTGCTGTACTAAAATGACGAATGTACCTCCTGTACATTCGTCATTTTAGTCGGTTCATGTAACGTTGTGGGTACGTCACGGATGAAGATGCGCGCGTTACCACAGCAGCGTCTCCGTAAAACCTCCGTTGTCTTGGTTCAGCTCTCGTGGAAACATCGCTTTGATTGGCGTCGTTTCGATATTCGTCCTCGTCGTCACCGTTCAGGGACGATTATCCCCGACGTAGAGCGGGACGCGACTTTTGCGGTCCCCGAATCTGCTTCCGTGCCGACCTCGTTGCGTTTCCTCTCTGTCCAGCCGACGTTCTCGATTTACTCGCCAAACCCGCGTTTCAAAACTCTCCAATCTTACAATATCGTGCCCCCCCCCCGCCTGCCCGGCCTTCCCAGCGCCGTTCGTCTTCGAAGAATGCAACAGCCGCACTCGGTGCCGTTCATTATAAACCACTCCAGCGAGCGGCCAGCCAAGCCACAGACGGCTTCACCAAGCTCCCTCCGAAGTGGTTTCTCCCCAACGGAATGCCTGCGCAGGCAAAGCCGCGAGTCAGAAATTGCCGTTCGGTGACATCAATCATCGGCGCGCATTCATCTTTCCCAACACCCCACCGCCCTTTTGACTGCACCCCGGGCCTGCTCACGCGCAGTACAATTGGGGGTCTACGGGGACACGGAACACGCGTGCGTTTACTACCTGTAGCGGCGATTCGCAACTCGGGTCCTCGCAACCAACCCCAACCCTTTGCACGCGTTCGCGATCGCCAACGCTTTATATGAATGCACACAATTAAGCCACTGCTGCACGAAAGCTGTACCGTGAGGGGGGCGGGGGTCTCGTGGAAGGCCGGTTGAGAAACACTTGCCCAGCTCTTTAGGTGCCTTTTTCGGGTTCTGCCGCTCCCAGGATGTGGGGGCAAAAACGTCGGAAAGTGCTGAACAACACTAGGGCAAAAAACCGGAGAACACATGGGAGAGCTGTGAAGGGCACTCGCTTTTGTGGCACGTGGATCCAGGGTTCTCTACAAAAGCTGGAAATAGAAGTCTTTGAAACACACTGGAGGGGCCATACAGCACAACCGCCAACTCCTACAGCGTAGTCTCCTCCCTCTTCTCCCTCATTTTCTCCCCCCTTCTCGTTCTCCCTCCTTCTTTCGTACGTCCTGTAAGCAACAGTTTGTGTAGATGTCATAGTTGAATATTAAGACCCCTCGACTAATCCTAGGCGGCAGTAGACGCTGTACAGATTTCAGGAGATGCCGCCAGGGCGTGTGACGTGGATGATGGCGCACGCTCGCCGGCGGTGCGTTTTGATGGTTTGGGGTTTTACCACAGTCGCACTTTGGCGATTCTTTTATCTCCCATTTGTGGAGCAAATGCGTTGCGCGTCTCGCGTGCTACAGCGCAGTTAGCACCTGCTAGGATGGACCAATATTGTTGCTGCCCCGTTTCTGTTTAAGAGCCGAGCGAGGCACAAGAGGAGGGTGATGGCGGATGAGGCTGAGGAGAGTCCTCGCCAGCCGCTCACCCCGCTACGCACCTCACTCCAGGACAACCTCTGCTGCAAGATGCCCATCCAGGTGACGCACGCGTTCGCACGAAGGTTTGCCGATGGCGACACTATGACTTGCCGTTACGGTACTACGACGTGCCGTACTATACTTCGATGTGCCGTACTATACTACGATATGCCGTATCATATGAGATACCGTACGTTGCTAGGATGTGCCGCACAGTCTTACGATATGCCGTATGATACTACGATGTGCTGTGTGGTACTACGATATGCCATACGGTGCGACGATGCGCCGTAGAGATACAGGTCGGTGACACAGTGGTAACACTGGATATCCGTAAAAATAGTGGACGTCTCAGAAAAACAGCTCATCGGATTCCTCCAGCGTAAATAAATATTCTGATTCTGAACGCTCGTTGCCACACGGCAAGAGGGGCCTGGCTTCGATTCCTGATTCGGGTGCCTCTGTATGGAGTTTGTAAGTTCTCCCCCTGTTCTGCAGTTTGAGTGTGCGAGTGTGCAGAGTTTGTGTGTTCTCCCTGTGGCAGAGGGAGTGTGAGGGTGCGGAGTTTGTATGTTCTCTCCCCGCTCTGCCACTGCGAAGCAGCGAGCTTGTCTCTGTGCGACTTGGCAATTTCCTTGTGGCTGGGACCATTCGCATATGTTATAATGAGCTCTCATTAGCCATAGTTCAGTGCTGGAAAGCAACACTCATTATCTCCTTTTTTTTCCACACAGCAGTGCATGCATGGCTTTAATTGCACATCCATGCTCTAATTGCACATGCACACTCATTACAATCATGGCATCGCTTAGCATAATTAGTTTGAATCACCTTTTGTGTGTGTTATTTTTTGCATGCGTTTCATTATTGGGCTGCAATGCACCTCTTGCACCCGACTTTCCTGCTGAGTGAGCGACATAAATTACTTAATAAGATTCATTCACCCGGTGCAAAGCTTGTTGATTTAGGTTTTTTTTCCACATCTTTGTTTTTTCAGCTTCCAACTACTCGATTCATTATTTTCAGTTGACATAATAATGATGTTGTGCTAAAGGCAATGTTGCCACAAGTTAACTGACAATCTCCTGAGGTAGCTTGGTGGCACAGAGAGCTGTGGCCTCTGTCAGCATTGGGCCAGTACAGATGCCATCCTGGGTCTTACAATAATATTAATACTCACATTTATATATCGCACCCGTGAAGCAACACACGATCTTGTATAATGAGTTTGAGGGTCACGGCCCAGTCACCATTGGCTGCATCAACGATACATGGTATATATAAGGATGTTTTTATTCCACCTGATTGTGAGTGTCTAATAGTGCAGCAGCAGCAGCAGCCATGGGATCTGATAGGGTAGCGAGGGTTGGTAACGCGGAGGTGCGGCGGTGACAATCTTTGACGCCGCCCCCCCCCTCCCACCGCTGCCGCCCCCGCCCGCTCGCGTCTCGACCCCCCCGCCCCTCCTGCACAGATGAGCGAGGAGTGGGAGGCCGTGGCGTGCGGCAAGACGGAGGACCAAGTGTTGATGACGGAGAAGGCTCGCAGGATCCTGCACACCCTGCCTCCGCGGAGCCTGGTGCTGTGAGCGAGTGCCACCGCACAACCCCCCCGTGGCTCGTCCGACCCCTCCGTGCGCTTCGATAGCGACGTGACAGACGTTCCCCCCCCCCCCCCCCCCCGAACGGCAAAGTGAGCGTTGACGTGCCAGGGTTTTTTCCGAAACGGCGGCGATTTGGTTTTCCCGCCAAATCCCGCGCCGGCGTTCATTCTCTAGGTTAAGGTGTTTGTGGGAGTATTTAAATGGAGAACCCCGTAGCGGGATTGTTAACTGTAAGTGTAATGGGTTCAACTGAGTCGCAGACGTAGACTTGGGGGCAACACATTTATTCAGTTCCAACACACGGGGTAACTTTCCCCTTAACAGAATAACAACCTATGGTGGTGACCACCAGGCTAACTACACTAGTTACAACATAACTGCTACTACAGACCGGGACCAACAACAGCTTTGGCCCGGGTCCACGTGTTGGAGACTCGTTGAACGGAGAACATAAACAAAGGGTTTCTTCCAGGATGAACAACGACCCCGGTGGTCCCTCTGGGGACCCGGCTTTTATTCTCTGTGGCGTGGCCGGCTCTGCCCTTGGCCTCGACCACCTTCCAGAATCCTCGGGAAGGATCTGGGTCCCAATCACGTGACCACCCCTAGCCCCCTTTTTGGGGCACCTTTGTCAATTTAGCTGGTCACGTGTCCTCCCGGGTCAACCAGAGTGCCATGGCCTCGCGTAACCTCATCCTTTGGCCGGCAGCCACACACCTTGTCCTGTAGGGGCTGGCACTGCACGCCAAGCGGGGTGCCACCCAGCGCTATTATATTCAGCGCTCACCGGGCCCCTCTCGCGCCGGTACTACACCCACACCATCGTGGTATCCGCGATGTCGCTACACCACACGCCGTGCCCCTCTAGGGCCGGCACTGCACCCAGCATGTTGGCATCCAGCGATGTCTCTACATAAGGAAAACATAGTATAAAGTCGCTGACTTAAAAGGATTTTGAGGATTTGTCGTTGGCTGTTAATGATCTCAGTGCCGTTTGAAGCGTGTCAAAAAACATTCCGTGAGTGATTTCCTGCTCGCATGAGCGTCGAGGTCGTGCTCTCCTCCTTTTTACAGCCCTGAGCCATCTTCTTTGGTTCTTTCGGTAAAGTCACCACGTAGAATGAGAATAAATAATAAATTAATAAAATAGCACAATAAAATTCTCACGACGTTTCGGCCACAACACAAGTGGCCTTCTTCAGGTGAAAGGAACAGACCTGTCGGGACGACAGAGCTTCAATGAACGTTGTTAAGATTTGTAGCGTCTTTTAAGCTGGTTTAGAGAAGTGAGGCACCTTGACAAAGGGGGTTTACATATCAAACAGGAGAATTTTGCATTGAAATAGCTGAGTGATTAGCTTGTGACTGGTCACAATCTAATCACTTGCTGTGATAATTTTATTGTTTTATATTTTTATTATTTTATTGTTTCCCTTCTACGTGACTTTACCGAAAGAACCAAGAATATGAATCCCTGCAGTCACGAAAGTTTTAAATCAATACATAAAACTTGTCACAAAAACATGAATCCTACATTTTAACTATGATATAGGAAATAACATACACATTTGCAGAGGTACTCACCGGTCCGTTGTAGAGCATTTTAAGTTGATTGTAGGGACACAGTGGGTCCGTTCAGATTTCAGTATACATTCGTACAGCCTGCCGCTATCGCCACCACTTGGCAGCGTCCTGAAGCTCCCGTAAACAGCAACAACAACGGATCTACGAGAAGCCCACGGCAAGATGCCAGATGGCTGTTGAAGGACGATTCGTGTTGACGTCCTATGGCAGACGCTGGCTGTTAGAGCATTTTGCTGCACGTCTCAACGTGGAGTGGCGGCGTGTGGGTCAATGCTTCCGTAAGCTGATATCGGGCGGCACTGCCAGCGCTGACAGGGGAGGGGAGATGCAACATGGACGACCCCATGCACACGAATGCACTGTTAAAGCAGCATCTGCTTAAGCCAGTGATCTTCATTGCAAGGCCACCGCCGGCCACTGGCGGCCCCTTTGGTGGCCCTTAGCGCGGCCCCTCACGTGCGGCCCTTCCCGACACAAATACACAAATATTGAACAACGCTCCCCCCAATCATCATCATCGTGCTGATGTCACAAACTTCCAATGGTTTCAAATGATGTGGCGGCCCTCGGACTGATGATGTCTTATCGGTGAGGGTGCCCCCCCCCCCCCCCACCTCTGAAAGTGAATGAAGAACACCGGCTTAAGCGCTTGTTTGCGTTGGAGGTGTTTGTTCTAAATAGAGCGGCGCATCCTTTAAACACCGATGAGTAAACCAGCTCGCCAAATGTATGTTGTCCCCCCCCACGACACCGGGTAGTCCCAAACCACAGTCTTCGCGACCCCTGCCAGCCTCCGCTTCGTCGTCTTTCCGCATTCACCAATTTACTTCTCCCCGTTCAAGTGCAAGTTAATTCGTCACACGCTTGCACGTGCCCGACGATTGTTAAACGCGTCTCCCGCGTGACGCAATCGGCGCTGTCGCCGTTATTAAGGGCCGATTTACGACTGAGATCTAGAGTGTGTGTCGTGTGTGTGCGCGCGTGTATGTGTGCGCACGTGTTCCATGTGGTGAGCGCTAGTGCAGCGGTTAGCGCACCGCCCTACGATCCCAGCGACCCGAGTTTGATTCCCGCTCATGGCCAACACCAGTGAATTATTCGAAGCGGTCCTGGGCCTCCCGTAGGTCGAGTTGACATGTAAACATCGCCACTCGGGAGAAAGTCAGCCGGGCGCGGTCCTGTCCACCCACCCCCTTGTGTGCCGTGCCGATAACAGCACTTGCCCCAATAGTATGTTAAGGCTACACGGGGGATATTTGTCTTTGTATTCCATGTGTGCATGTGTGTGCATGTGTGTACATGTGTCACACATGCTACTCTGCATTGTAGCTCCTTTGAGAGTGGTCAGTCCACTGAGGACTATTTGTATAAAGATATTTAGCTTTTTAATATTAGCTTTTTTAATAAAAAAACAACATTTGTCTGTCTCAATGCTAGGCACTTTATTAAAACCAGTTTTAACCGAAAGCATCCGGCCAAAAGTTTTAGCAAATTAAAAATGTACGGAAAGCTTTACGTATTTTGCAAACATGATAGGGCAGCGCCACCTAGCGATACGATTTTCTTCGGCAGAAAATGTACATGTTCAGATGTTTAATATCATAATTTTTTTTCGCTTGGCCCTGTGTGGCTCACAAAGTCAAACTCGTAGTCAATCACTCTGCTCGCTAACATGGTTCACGCACTCGTGCCCAGCGGTGGGTTAAATCGCTTGTTTTAACGGCAACATTGGTTGAGCCCCCTGTCACTTTCTACTAAACTGTGTGGCCAAAAACTCCATGCAGGCCGGTGCTGTGGGGCACATGGTTGGTTGAAGTTCTTTTAAACCAGGGGCCTGAGTGTCCAGGAAAAAAAAAACTGCGTAAATACTCCAATAGAAGAAGCTGCTGCCTTCAGCCATGTCGCAAGCTTCTAGCAAGAGAGGAGGCCGCTGTTGCCGAGCGTCGGGACGTGTCTGCACGCCGGTTGGCCGAGCGCGTTGCAGCTATGGTGACCAGCTCCCCTTCGGGATATTCCGCCAGGCACTCGGCCACATGTACAAACCCAGTGTGGACCGGTACATACGTACATGTGTATCTAAGTCTATGGATCTCTGTGTAAGTCTATGGATATTGAACTTCTTTCACATCGTACGTAGCCAACCATGCTAATCGTAGGTGCGGGGGGGGGGGGGGAAGCAAACTAAACAGAAAAAAAGTTTTTAATAAATGAATTTTCAATCGAGATTATTTAAAAGTGCGTAGCTCCAGTGGCTTCCTAATATGGGAGGAGCTGTTCCAGACGGCTGCAGAAGCGCACGTGAAAGTGCGTGATGCGGTGAACGTCTTTGTTCGATGGCCAGCCAAAAGCCACTGCGAAGATGGACCGGGGTTCGGGTGATGGTCCATTCTCACTTGACGCAATGAGAGTTGATCGGCAGGTCGCATGTGACGAGCTCAAGTGTGGGTACCCATCTATGAAACTTTTACATTTTTAAAAAAATTTTGCCAGGTAAGGCCCAACCTGGCCACAAATGATAGCGCTCAACAAAGTGGCTTATCGTGTGGAAATTTATAGCAGCCAAATACTCCAAGCACATGTTTCTAAAAACCTCTTCCGAGACATGTGGCCAGCGAGGAAGAAAGAGTAGGCCAAATACCCTCGAGAGGGGGGTGGGGGGGGGGGTGACTAGAGGAGGCAGTGGCGGGTGAGCAAGACATGGCCGGCTGCACCTTTCCTTCAACCATCGTATATCCACGCGGTGCCTGGGGGAGTCTTCGTGGAATTGTGACCTCTCCCTCCTCCCACTCCTGGCATTTGTTGGCAGTAGCCAAGCGACGCGGCTACCGTTAAACCCCACGTTCTGGATGCCAGCCACGTGCCCTGGCTATAATTAATCCCGTTTCTGAAGCCAAATAAAACACATCCCGTCGTCTCCGGAGACCGATTTGCGTCACGGGAATGCTTTATGTCATGGCCCTTTGCACCGTAAAAATAGATACGCTGATGTGTGAAGGGGGTTGTGATCATACAGGGTCCTGAGCATTAACTCTGTTTAAGAGCAGTGCAGTGTTGGGTTCTCTGTTTTGGGCCAGCCATACAAAACGGCCCAAGGCACACTTGGTGAAACGACGGCCCTTGTTCTCAACCACCTCCCCTCCTGGCCCCACCTCTCAATGTTGTCACCCGTTGTTTGCCGCCAGCATTTTCCCTTAATGACCACGGCCACCGCCCCGATCCCTTCCCTTAACTCTTCCTGCGAGTCCGCACGCGAGCGATCGGCTGCTGCCCCGCCAACATGGTCGCGCGCAGTCAAATCGGCTCTAAATCTCGCGCGTCCCCCTCCCCGCAAGCGGCCGGACGTCGACGCGTCGGCGGGCGATTCGCGTCGTGCAATTTCAAAGAGCGACTTCCAATCGTGCGGCCGCCGGTGTGGACTCAAACCCCGCCCTCTTCCGTCTCAATCTCTTGAGCAAATCTCACCTCGTACGAACGGTGCTGATGGTTTTGTTTTTTTTGGTCCGGCAGGGTGCTTTTGAATCGCATTTACTACGCATCTTACTGCATGTATCCCTCCGCTGCGGAGGGTGATGAGGCCGTGAGCCCGCGCACGATGCCCGCCCCGGAGAGAGGTGCGTTTTAAGGTTGCGCTGCGCCCTGCTGTTGCCATCGCCTGTTGACGGTGCTCCCTACTGGGACCGTGAACGTCTTTCGTTCGCGGCTTCTTTGAGAAACGGGACGGTGTTCCTTGCCGCTACCCCCGGGATCGTAATATTTATACTGCAGGAGGAATTCGGTGAGCTATAAAGCTCTTTTTTTTTACAGATGTCCAGTCGGGGCGGGTAAGCACGTTACAACAACAAACAGCGCAAAAACACGTGATAGTCCAAAGTACAGGAAAGGTCAACAAATCGCCCAAATGCATACCAATAAAACTAAAAACATCCCCATCCTACCAGGCAAAGGCCGCTTCCATTTCTTACTGCCTCTCTTTTTTTTTTTCCCCGACGGTACAACCGAGCCAGCCCGGGTGTGGCTCCGCCAGTGCCAGGTTTGCTTTTCCACTGCAGAAACTGAACCGTGCCGCCGACGTCAAGTTTTGGTGAACTCGTTCTCGGACCCGCCCGTGGCCTTGCTTGGCCCACAATCCATCCAGACGTCGTGTGTGAGGCGGGTGGTAAACGGGGGGAATGAGTTGTGTCGCTGGGATTGGCAGCAAATGGCCCCAGCAGGGGAAGCTACGTTGCGCAAGTTTCTAAATCCTGTGCTCGCCTTTTTTCTACGCTTGCGGATATAACAATGTAAAACATTGTACGTGTTGCATCCTCCAACGGCCAGTAGCCCCATGAGATGCATGTTTTTCTCTTAACAACCCTCGCAAAATTAAAATAGCAGTGCTTAACATTTGTACTTATTGTGAATAGTTTACAGAGAGAGAGGACGCTTTAGGGATCGACTATTTTCTGGTAATGTACTAAGTGGTTCGGGCTAAGATAGTACTGGAGTGGAATGACTTTTGCCCATTTGTTGGTGAGCTGTGTATTTAATGCTATGTGTAGGGGGCCAATTGTACTGTGTACATTTAATGATAATGACGCATGCTGACACGTGTAAGTTAAAATGTTAAGACTGTGTATGAGACTTAAGGCATTTTTTCCCCATTCAAAAAATATATATTGCAAAATGATGAAGCTATAGTATGGTTAAACATAAAACTTGTTGAAAATGGTGATTTATCGTACAGGATGCGTGTTCTTTCAGTAAACAAAAGGGGGTTGGGGAGGTTATGTCAAGTGTCGGGTGACTGCTAAAATGCATTGACAACAATAATGCCATGAACGTTAGAAAAGTCTCTACAGAACCAAGAATATTGGTCAACATTGGTTACCGACCCACTGACTCATGAACGCTATAAAGCTACAGATGATAAAATACTGAGTGGCGCATCCACTCAATTGAAGCGGTGGTAGCGCGGGCCAGCGGAAGCGTGGCCAGCGCAGGCCAGTGCAGGCTAGCGCGACCCAGCGCCAGCGCAGGCCAGGGCCAACGCGACCCAGGGCCAACGTGACCCAGCAGTAGCGTGGCCAGCGCCAGCGCGCGGGCCAGTGGTAGGGTGGCCAGCGCCGGCGCGTTCACCGCTTGTTGCAGAGGTTCACGGTTCGAATCCACAGCGGCCATGCCGAGGAGGAGATTGCATGCTTAAAGGTTTCGGATGCACCAGGAAACCACGGCACGACGCAGACTATTTGGCGATGCTGCGTTGGCAGTGGTGCACCAGTACGATTAACGAACTCGTCAACAATCCTGCCTTAAATTCTGTAATTCGGGCACTGGCCCCATGAAGCACATTGTGTGCTATCACCGACCATTGCCCAGAACATTGCCTGTATATATTTTAAGGCCAGTGTTAAGTTAGCTGTGGATCTACTTATTAAATTTTGCCAGGTAAGGCCCATTGAGCTAGTTTGTTTTAAGCGAACTGGCCACAACTCAACAAAAGTGGCTGATGTTAAAATGTATATCAGCCAATTACTCTAAAACACGTGATGTTGATTCTAAATGAGAGAGACGTGCAAACTCCAAATATACAGCAGGCGTCAGGGTTGGGATCGAAACCCACGATCTCCCGTCTACCAGGCGAGGTAGTTAACATGTCCCAGCCACCACGGCATCCCAATTGTTGAAACTAATGCCACCAACTTGAAAAACACAAAAGGCACCTTGAGAAGTCTGGGAAAATAGGGAAAGTTGTTTAATTCACAGAATTCCACCCAATACATTCACCAAGGACAAAATGACAGTTACCACCATTCCATTATCCAGCGTTGCGGAGTGGATCCAAGATGAACAAAACAAGGAAAATGCAAGACATGCATATTAAATTCGCAAATGTAGTTTCCGCAGGTGGGGTGACGACGTTGAGAGTGCCCTCTTTGCATTGCTCTATAAAGGAATTGGTTTACTCGGGGGGTGGGAATCTTAATTTCGCTGACCCTTGACAAGTGAGGATCGGCTATGAAGCCAGCGAACACGTGAAACAATTTCTTTTTTTCCTCAAGCGCGGTTAATCCACAAGCCAGATAATGCACCTAGGGATATTCGAGAGTTGCTGTAAGCACCGAACACGATTTGAGTGGATGTTTCCCTGACCGATGTCTCCTCTGATGTCGCGCTCTTTCACGGACTTCCCACAACCTCGGAGAATTTCCGGGGGGTGTACTTCCCCTCCTGGATCAGCTTTTCCCTCTGCTGGAGGATCGCTTTCATCCGGTTGATCTGGAGGCGACACAAGGAAAACGACGCAAAGCATGTCACCTGCGCATGGGCGAGGGGAGTCGGTGGATCACCGAGAGATTTGGGGAAACTCCCAAAACGCACTGCTGGGCTGACATGCGCCGTCACCACCGGGTGACGGCCGTACAGAACACGTGTCCACGCACCCACCCGTGTGGTCCTTTTGAGTGCTTGCGTTATGCGGAACTAATTTCGGACAGTACGTAGCCAACCCCGCTAATTGGAGGTACGAGGGAGACAAAGGTGGCCGGGCGTGGTGCTGGCTACCCAAGCCCCCCCCCCCCCCCTCATGTGCCACAGTGCCGACCTTCATAGGTGCTGCTCGCTCACAGCACTGGGCCCAAACAGTCTGTAGAAGACTACGGGGGGATCTGAGTGGGTGAGCCTGTTGGGAGTGACTACGAGTGAGTGTAGTTGGGTGAGCATGAGGTTTCTAGAGTGAATCGACGACTGCATGCAAGTTGGGTGAGAGAGAGAGAGGGATCTGTGGTGGCTCGGAGATATCTACCTCGCCTAGTATACAGGAGGTCGTGGGTTCCATCCCAACCCTGACTCCTGTATATTTGGAGATTGCATGTTCTCCCTGTGGTTGCGCGGATTTTGCTCCGGTTTTTCCCTCGCCATTTAGAATCAACGTCACGCGTTTCGGAGTATTTGGCTGCTGCTAAGAAATGTCCGCTACTTTGTTGTGAACTATCACTGTGACTAACCAGGTCGCTTCTGGGCCTTGACTGGTAAAATAATGGAAAATAGTTTAACACGTAGACTTTTTGCGACCAATATCCCTAACCGATGTTTGGGTTAGATCGTGTGAATGTGTCGTGAAACCCGCTACCAGCCAACTAGCAAGGTTTGTGATGTGGACAAAATGCGTCAATTCGTTCCGAGTTCACACCGGTGTGTTGGAGAGTAAACCCACGACATTCACAATGGTTTACGCTCCAACGCACCAGTGCGCTGAACTCGTAACTAAATCGGCACGTTTTGTTTTACGTGACGAAACCTCATTAAATCGGGTGTCTTGGCGGGTTGAACGACACATTTCTATTCACGTGGTCTAACCTAAAAAAACAAACCTCATGGATAATGAAAAATAGATGGATGAATAAGAGTTCTTAGAAGACGAGTGCGTACGAGCGCGCGGTCACCACCCTGCCACCCACTCACCATCTTGGCCTTGTACAGGCACTCCTTGTAGTCCTCGATCTCGGGCTGGCACTCTCTGTTGGCGCGCACCGTGCCTAGGCCGTGCGAGCAGTCGATCACCTCCTGCTCGTAGAGATGGCAGCGGCCGGCACGTCGTGCCATGTTGTCCTTGGAGCGCACCGTGAAGAGTTGGTCAAACTCCACGCCCAGCCACGCCTTCACGTCGACGAACGGCATCGTGGCTTCCTAGCCCGGGGATCGCGAGAGAGGGAGAGAGGCGAGCTCAAAATATCAGAAGCTTGCGATGGACCAGCGGACGGTCACAGTTGCACGTGCACACTGAAAGCGATTAAACATACTTTTACCTTGCCAGGTAAGGCCCCACTGAGCTATGTGGCTCTTTTTTTTTTCAGAAGCAACCGACCGCTCAACGAAGTGGCCTATAACGTGAACATTTATAACGGCCAAATACTTAACGCGTGTTCGTTCTGAGGGGAAAAGTGCAAGCGGCCACGGGGAGAGAACAAGCAAACTTCAAATATACAGCGGGCGTCCGGGTTGTGATCGAACCCACCACCACCTCCTCCATACCTGGCGAGGAAGTTAACATCTCGCCACCGCTGTAGGGTTACTGAATGCAGCACGCAGCCATGTCCCTGGGAGGCTCCGCTCGAAAAAAAATAGCTGGCAGCTGATGACTGCAGCCCAGCCGACATTTACACAGCCACGCCCACTCATGTAGCCCCTCCCTCTGTTTATGTGACCCCTCCCACTGCTCAGGTAGCCCCATCTGCTCACGGTGAGCATGAGGCCAGAGGATTTAGTTTGGGAGGCGGGGAAGGGGTTGTAGAGAAACAGCAGCGTGAGTGAGCATCACAGAAAGCAGGAGACGCCGACTGATTAACGCATGCGAGCGGAGGGTAGAGGAAGGAGAGACCAGAAGACATGCATCCAGGGGGTGACGACAAGAGTGAGGTGCATGAACGCGCCACCAGCGACGTGCGATAAACTTCTTCCGCACCGCACGTAGCCAGCCGTGCTCGTCGGAGGCATGGAAACATTTCTCCCGCGCAAAGTGGGAGCAGGCGAGAGGGGAGATCGGTCGAGGGATTGGTGGAGTAGAGAGGAGCGAGGCAGGCAGGAGAGAGAGCGACATTGGAGGGATCGAGGAATGGGAGGAGAGGGTGCGATTCGAGCAAGGGTGATGAGAGGCAGGAGAGAGATTGGTTCAGAGCGAACTGGGGAGTGAGAGGATCGAGTCAAATCTGTGAATGACGACAAAACCAATTGCAGCAGAGCCTTGAGTGCAGCGATAATACACAGACGGAATGAACAACAGGCAAATGTGTGCATGGAGGCATGAGAATACACAGACGGAATGAACAACAGGCACATGTGTGCATGGAGACATGGCCATCGGCCTTATGCAGACCGCTAACCTCAACAGAACTGCGTTGCCATTCTAGGCCACCAACTCAAGACATTGAGATAACGTGGTCAACCAACATCGATGACCGTTCATAATAAAGGTTTTGGGGTTAGATCGCGTTATTTATAAATGTGTCGTAACCCTCCACCACCCGACACGGCCAATCAGCAAAAAAAAGTGTCACGTTGACAAAAGACAAATAATTCACTACTTTAGCCCTCCGGTGTGTTGAAGAGTGAATCCACAACATTTACAGTTTGAGTACGACGTTTCGCTGGTAAATACATCCAGCATCATCGGGCATGTATTTATGTATTTACCAGCGAAACGTCGTACTCAAACTGTAAATGTGGATTCACTATTCAACACACCAGTGGGCTAAAGTAGTGAATTATTTGTCTTTTGTCAACGTGACACTTTTTTTGTTTCTGATTGGCCGTGTCGGGTGGTGGAGGGTTACGACACATTTATAAATAACGCGATCTAACCCAAAAACCTTTATTATGAATAATATTGGTCGCGAAAGCCTACGTGTTAAACTGATCGATGACCGTACTGATGAGTCCTAATGAGCGCGAAACCAAGAATTGTAGATAAAATTGGTGCTTGATTTTTCTGGAACGAATCACACGCGTGCAATGCCAGTGCGTGTTGGGCACTACTCCAACCTGACGGACAACAGAGATCGAGTACCACGGGGTCCTCTTGATCGTCTGATGACCCAATAATCACAATACATTGGTACGTTTGTGAGAGGGGTGAGTGAGATGTGAGAGGGAGGTGATGTGAGAGGTGTGAGTGAGGTGAGCCTAAGAGTGGTGAGAGGGAGGTGAGTGAAGTAAGGGTGAGGTGAGTACCATTAGGGAGCGGTGGTCGTGAGTCAGGTGAGCGTGAGGTGAGAGGGGTGAAGTGAGCGGGGTGAGTGAGGTGAGGTGAGAACTGTCAGGGAAAGGTGAGTGTGAGTAGGACGAGTGAGTAAGGTGAGGGTCAGGCGAGAGCCGTCAGGGAGATGTGAGGTGTGGTGAGTCAGGTGAGCGTGAGGTGAGAGGAGTGAGGTGAGCGGGGTGAGTGAGGTGAGAGCTGTCAGGGAGATGTGAGGTGTGGTGAGTCAGGTGAGGGTCAGGCGAGAGCTGTCAGGGAGATGTGAGGTGTGGTGAGTCAGGTGAGGGTCAGGCGAGGAAGGGTTGATTTCGTCTGCTGCTTCATTGACTCGATCGTGTTCACGTCTCTACGACCGCGAATTACCCCGTTCTCGTGCTGGGTGCACTGCGCCTGGTTTGTGTCCACGCGCTATTGTTAATGTTTTGTTCCTTAAGCATAATCGTCGTCGTTCTGGTTATTATGTTTGGCTGCACCGCTGATGCGTTCTGTTCCGTTGTTGCCGATTCCTCCGCACGGATCGCTCTGATGTCGCTGTGCTTTTGCTCTCGGCTAAACTACGTTTTTTTTATTTCACGAGGTAAGGCCCACTGAGCTATGTAGCTCTCTTTTCAGAAGCACCACGGATCCCCCTTGCAAACTCGCTAGGCCAACTGGCTAAATAGGACTGTCTACGTCAGAATTAAACATTGATGCAGGGTGGGGTGAGCGAGGCGAGGGTGGAGTGTGGTGAGAGTGGTGAGGTGAGTGGTGCGTGCGACGGGGCTGGTGACCCCTCCACCTGGCACTTTATTTTCTACCAAGCACCACGGTGGAAACACAAAAATCAGCACAATCATTAAGGGCCTTCATAATAGTGGGAGGGCCCGGGTAAAGCTACGTGGCCAGGAGTCTGAGCCATTCCATGTTCACCTTGGATGCTGCAGGGATGCCCTCTGGCTGCCACATTATTTAACATCATTTTTGACCACGTAGTTCGAGAAGCTTGCCATGGCTGTACCGGAGGAATTACCATCTGGTACCGATACAATGGGGGGCTGATCGATGTCTGGGTGGGGTCGAGGGATGGCTCCCTATTGGTCAACCATGTTAAGTATGCTGATGATATGGTGACTGCTACTCAGAAGAGGAGTTGAAGGCGCTGAGGCTGGAGCGTGCCACTAAGAGGTGGGGTTTTATACCATCAGCCTCACCAAAACTAAGCACTTGCCTGGGTATTTTGTGCCACCACACACTCCACCCCCTCAGCTCCCCATTGGTGACGGAGTAGTTGTAGAGAAAGTGTAGAGTTTCCCATACCTGGGCAGTGTGCTTATGACCAGCTCCGGATTGACAGCAGAGGTCTCACTCCGAATTAGTCGAGCGGCAATATCTTTTCATCGGTTGCGCAACGCTGTGTGCAAGCTACCTGGTCTGTCGCTCCACACGAAGCTTCAGGTCTTCTCGGCCCTCCCTCTATGCTTGTGAAACGTGGACCCCTCTAATGGAACATCTGCGCCGGTCATAAACATTCAGGCTGGCATGACTACGATCCATCCTGGGTTTAACCAGCAGGCTGGATTGTGTGAGGAGCTCACAAATCCTTGAAAGATCTGGACACATTTCCATCAGTGAGCTCCTCCGGCAGGCAAGTCTGCGTTGGCCGGGTCATGTCGCCCGCATGCCTAGCCACCGCATGCCCAAGCAGCTTCTGTTTGGCAGCATAGAGGGGGCTAAACGGGCGCGGCACGGGCTAGAGAAGAGATGGAGTGATGTGGTACAGGAGGACGTGGAGCTGAGTGAACCTGCCGATGACCGGTACCAGCGGTGTCAAGATCGGCCTCTGTGGAGGCTCGTGAAGAACGCTACTGGGCAGTTGGAGGCAGTCGCCCTCCAGCAACAACGGAGGGCTGAGGAGCGACGCTCACAACAACGAGCGGAGCGCCGGGCGGATAAAATGCAGCATCACCAGTCATCTCAGTTAGCCAACCCATGGCACCTGCTGGGTCTGTCCCGAGATCTCCTCCTGTCAGCAGCGAGGCCTTCCGACACTTCACGTGGCCTCAATGTGCACCTAGCCTGGCACAGGCACTGTGGTGACGTCACCGTCACTTGTTGGCGAATGACCGGGTGATTGAGGTTAGGGAGAGGGGTGTGGTGAGGGCGAGAGTGGGTGAGTGAGGGAGAGGTGAGTGTGATGAGGGTGGTGAGGGTGAGTGTGGCGAGGGTGAGTGTGGCGAGTGTGAGTGTGGTGAGGTGAGGGTGGTGAGTGAGGTGAGGGTGGTGAGGGTGAGTGTCGTGAGTGTGTTGTGGTGAGGGTGAGGGGAGGGTGAGTGAGGGGAGGGTGAGTGTGGTGAGGGTGAGTGTGGTGAGTGTGGTGAGGGTGAGTGTGGTGAGGGTGAGTGAGGTGAGGGTGAGTGAGGTGAGGGTGAGTGAGGGGAGGGTGAGTGAGGTGAGGGTGAGTGTGGTGAGGGTGAGTGTGGTGAGGTGAGGGTGAGGTGAGTGTGGTGAGTGAGGTGAGTGAGGGGAGGGTGAGTGAGGTGAGGGTGAGTGTGGTGAGGGTGAGTGTGGTGAGGGTGAGTGAGTGTGGTGAGGGTGAGTGTGGTGAGGGTGAGTGAGTGTGGTGAGGGTGAGTGTGGTGAGGGTGTGTGGTGAGTGTGGTGAGTGTTGTGAGGGTGAGTGTGGTGAGTGTTGTGAGGGTGAGTGTGGTGAGTGTTGTGAGGGTGAGTGTGGTGAGTGTTGTGAGGGTGAGTGTGGTGAGTGTTGTGAGGGTGAGTGTGGTGAGTGTTGTGAGGGTGAGTGTGGTGAGTGTTGTGAGGGTGAGTGTGGTGAGTGTTGTGAGGGTGAGTGTGGTGAGTGTGGTGAGGGTGAGTGTGGTGAGGGTGAGTGAGTGTGGTGAGGGTGAGTGTGAGGAGGGTGAGGTGAGTGTGGTGAGTGTGGTGAGGGTGTGCTGAGTGAGTGTGGTGAGTGAGTGTGGTCAGTGAGTGTGGTGAGTGAGTGTGGTGAGGGTGAGTGTGGTGAGTGTGGTGAGGTGAGTGAGGGTGAGGTGAGGGTGAGTGTGGTGAGGGTGAGTGAGGGTGAGTGTGGTGAGTGTGGTGAATGTGGTGAGGGTGGTGAATGTGGTGAGGGTGGTGAGTGTGGTGAGGGTGAGTGAGGGTGAGGGTGGTGAGTGTGAGGTGAGTGTGCTGAGTGTGAGTGTGGTGAGGGTGAGTGTGGTGAGGTGAGTGTGAGTGTGCTGAGTGAGTGTGGTGAGTGTGCTGAGTGCTCTGCCTGCTCACCGGAGCTCGCGTCCTTGAGGCCGCTGTTCGACGTAACCCCTGACCCCACTGTCTGCCGTAAAGTACCACGCGTCACGCAGATCCCCTTCACGACGGCGCTTTACGACCCTGCGGCTTTCCGCAGAGCACGTCACTAAAATCGATTCCATCGAGCATCGATTAGATTATACTGTGATTCCAGAATAGATTCCTACATCGTGCTAAACTTCTCATTTGCAAAAATATCACATTGTTAAACTCGTTTAAAGTTTAAAGTTTTATTTATTAGGTATAGCCCTGTGAGCCATGCGGCTCTTAAGTCGGGTGCAACCGCAACAAACAAAAAACTCCCATCCCATTGTTCCACTCATTAACTCCCATCCCATTGTTCCACTCGTTAACTCCCATCCCATTGTTCCACTCATTAACTCCCATCCCATTGTTCCACTCATTAACTCCCATCCCATTGTTCCACTCATTAACTCCCATCCCATTGTTAAACTCGTTAACTCCCATCCCATTGTTCCACTCATTAACTCCCATCCCATTGTTCCACTCATTAACTCCCATCCCATTGTTAATCTCGTTAACTCCTATCCCATTGTTCCACTCATTAACTCCCATCCCATTGTTTCACTCATTAACTCCCATCCCATTGTTCCACTCATTAACTCCCATCCCATTGTTCCACTCACTAACTCCAATCCCATTGTTAAACTCGTTAACTCCCATCCCATTGTTCCACTCATTAACTCCCATCCCATTGTTCCACTCGTTAACTCCCATCCCATTGTTCCACTCACTAACTCCCATCCCATTGTTAAACTCATTAACGCTCATCCCATTGTTCCACTCATTAACTCCCATCCCATTGTTAAACTCATTAACTCCCATCCCATTGTTCCACTCATTAACTCCCATCCCATTGTTAAACTCGTTAACTCCCATCCCATTGTTCCACTCATTAACTCCCATCCCATTGTTAAACTCATTAACTCCCATCCCATTGTTCCACTCATTAACTCCCATCCCATTATTCCACTCATTAACTCCCATCCCATTGTTCCACTCATTAACTCCCATCCCATTGTTCCACTCATTAACTCCCATCCCATTGTTCCACTCGTTAACTCCCATCCCATTGTTCCACTCATTAACTCCCATCCCATTGTTAAACTCATTAACTCCCATCCCATTGTTCCATTCATTAACTCCCATCCCATTGTTCCACTCATTAACTCCCATCCCATTGTTAAACTCGTTAACTCCCATCCCATTGTTCCACTCATTAACTCCCATCCCATTGTTCCACTCATTAACTCCCATCCCATTGTTAAACTCATTAACTCCCATCCCATTGTTAAACTCGTTAACTCCCATCCCATTGTTAAACTCGTTAACTCCCATCCCATTGTTAAACTCGTTAACTCCCATCCCATTGTTCCACTCATTAACTCCCATCCCATTGTTAAACTCATTAACTCCTATCCCATTGTTCCACTCATTAACTCCCATCCCATTATTCCACTCATTAACTCCCATCCCATTGTTCCACTCATTAACTCCCATCCCATTGTTCCACTCACTAACTCCCATCCCATTGTTAAACTCGTTAACTCCCATCCCATTGTTCCACTCATTAACTCCCATCCCATTGTTCCACTCGTTAACTCCCATCCCATTGTTCCACTCACTAACTCCCATCCCATTGTTAAACTCATTAATGCTCATCCCATTGTTCCACTCATTAACTCCCATCCCATTGTTAAACTCATAAACTCCCATCCCATTGTTCCACTCATTAACTCCCATCCCATTGTTAAACTCGTTAACTCCCATCCCATTGTTCCACTCATTAACTCCCATCCCATTGTTAAACTCATTAACTCCCATCCCATTGTTCCACTCATTAACTCCCATCCCATTATTCCACTCATTAACTCCCATCCCATTGTTCCACTCATTAACTCCCATCCCATTGTTCCACTCACTAACTCCCATCCCATTGTTAAACTCGTTAACTCCCATCCCATTGTTCCACTCATTAACTCCCATCCCATTGTTCCACTCGTTAACTCCCATCCCATTGTTCCACTCACTAACTCCCATCCCATTGTTAAACTCATTAACGCTCATCCCATTGTTCCACTCATTAACTCCCATCCCATTGTTAAACTCATTAACTCCCATCCCATTGTTCCACTCATTAACTCCCATCCCATTGTTAAACTCGTTAACTCCCATCCCATTGTTAAACTCGTTAACTCCCATCCCATTGTTAAACTCAACGCTCATCCCATTGTTAATCTCGTTAACTCCCATTCCATTGTTCCACTCATTAACTCCCATCCCATTGTTAAACTCATTAACGCTCATTCCATTGTTAATCTCGTTAACTCCCATCCCATTGTTGAACTCTTTAACTCGCATCCCATGAAATTTTGATTTAAAGCTTTCGTGACTGCAGTAATTCGTATTCCTAGCTCTTTCGGTAAAGTCACGTTGAAGGGAAACAATAAAATAATAAAATATACATAAAATAATAAAAATTCTCACGACGTTTCGACCATAACACAAACGCATCCCATTGTTGAACTCATTAACTCTCATCCCATTGTTAATCTGGTTAACTCCCATCCCATTTTTAAACATATTAACTCCCATCCCATTGTTAAACTCAACCCCCATTCCATTGTTGAACTCATTAACTCTCATCCCATTATCCATCCCAGAAGAATTCCCTCATCAAGACTCTGCACCATAGAGCCCAATGCATATCCGACCAGGAACACATAGCCAGTGAACTCAAGCACGTACACCAAGCTCTTAAGGCTAATGGTTATTCCGACTACACAATCCGCAAAGCTATCACTCCAACCATGAAGAAGCACCCTCTTGAGGAGCCATTCAAAACCATCACTTTACCCTACATTGCGGGGATCACAAAAAATATCTCCAAAATCTTGAAAAAACACAAGATCCAGGTCCGATTCAACACATTACATAAAATCCGCGATCTGGTTCCGTCTGTAAAAGATGTGATTCCGGACATACAGTACCCTGGCGTCTACAAACTAAGTTGCCTCTGTGGTAGTAGTTACATTGGAGAAACCAAACGACATGTCTCGGACCGCATCCGTGAACACAAAGCAGAGCTAAAACACGGTAGGACCAACACCTCGGCCGTGGCAGATCACTGTTATAATTCAGTAGGCTCACATGGCATTGATTTCTCCAAGACAGAGGTTCTCTGCAAGCCATCTGGCTACCATGAGAGATTCGTCCATGAGGCTATCCACATATACAAACACAGAGACAATTTCAACAGAGAAGATGGATTCTGGCTTAGCGATCATTGGAAGGATTTGATAAACCATTTCTGGTCTTAATTGATTGTTCACGCTTAGGTCTCCCCCCTCCTCTTTTCCGATAATAGATGGATTCGTCCATCTGAATAACTGCCAAATCGCTCTCCGTGGTGCTAACGTTAAAAAAACGCCACTTTTTTCCATTTCTTTTGCTGTAGTTTTCACACCTGATGATGATTGCTTGTGTTGCAGTCGAAACGTCGTGATAATTTTATTGTTTATAATTTTTATTATTTTATTGTTTCCCTTCTACGTGACTTTACCGAAAGAACGAAGAATATGAATCCCTGCAGTCACGAAAGCTTTAAATTAACATCTAAATCTCATCCCATTGTTAAACTCATTAATGCCAATCCCATTGTTAAACTCATTAACTATCATCCCATTGTTAACTCATTAACGCCCATCCCATTTTAAACACATTAACTCCAATCCCAATAAACTTGATTTGGAGCTTTTGTGACTGCAGGAATTACTTTTTGGTTCTTTCGGTAAAGTCTCGTAGAAAGAGAAAATAAATGAAATAATAAAAAATAAAAATCATGACGTTTCGATCACAACACAAGCAATCATCATCAGGTACAAATGAATTTCGATTTAAAGCTTTCGTGACTGCAGGGATTCCTCTTCTGGGTTCTTTCGGTAAAGTCACGTAGAATTGAGATTAAATAATACAAATAATAATAACAGAATAAAATTCTCACGACGTTTCGGCCACAACACAAGTAGACTTCCTCAGGTGAAGAAACAGGACTCTCCGTAAGACAGCGCTTGAGTGAACCCTGCCAAGCTTGGAAGCGTCTTTTAAGCTGTGTGGGAGGAACAGAGCGCCTTGACAAAGGAGTTTACATATTAATTAACATGTAACTGGGGGATTAGCATGATGTTGGTATGAGGGATTAACACCACAGAGAGCGACGAGCTTTGTTCAGACGGACGAGTCCATCTATGTTCAGAACGGAGGAGGGCGGGGGGGGAGGAAGCAGCCACGGTGCACTGCTCTGTCCTGTGTTGCGTTATAACTATGCTTTAAACTGGACTACTATACAATACAATATTACACCTTCCAATCTAAACTACACTGTATAATATCGTATCCATAGACAACCCCCACCCTTGAATTATACAATACGTTACTCTACACTACCCTATACTTTAGACTATAAAATATTAGACTTGTAGTATTACACTATGTATTATTCTACTAACCCTACTGCATACCACACTGCTGTATATTCACTATACAATTACGGAACTATATATTGCCTCATGAATTATGTTAAACATTACACTGTTATACTATTTATTATTATACAAAATGCTATAAACTATACTATTGACCGTCGTGTGAGAGGTACTAAGAGGCAGTGCCAGCGAATGGACTGCGGTCTGAAAGTCACCGTAAAATACAATCAATCAAGAACCAAAATGGTTTATAACGTCTTTCCAATGGTTACTAAGCCGGAATCCATCTTCTCGGTTGAAATTGTCTCTGTGTTTGTATATGTGGATAGCCTCATGAATGAATCTCTCATGGTAGCCAGGTGGCTTGCAGAGAACCTCTGTCTTGGAGAAGTCAATGTCATGTGAGCCCACTGAATTATAACAGTGATCTGCCACAGCTGAGGTGTTCGTCGTACCGTGTTTCAAGTCTGCTTTATGTTCACGGATGCGGTCCGAGATATGTCGTTTGGTTTCTCCAATGTAGCTGCTACCACAGAGGCAACTTAGTTTGTAGACGCCCGGGTACTGTATGTCTGGAACCACATCTTTT